TGGGCAACAGGAAATCATAAGAACTGATAAGTAGAGCCCTGCAAATCTGCAGATATCGCCTTATATCCGTGCATAATTGTATCCAGAGGTGTCAATGCAAATAGGGATGTGGATACAAATTTTGTATCTGTGCAAGGCTCTTCTGATAAGACATATTCTAATACACTAAATTAGATTACAAACAACAGTAACCAACCTGTAATAAACCCGCTTTTTAATAGGTCTGTGTCTATTAACCTGCAAATACTAAATTTCTTAGATTAAGATACACTATTTCTTTTTTCCATTACCTTGTCAAGCTAAAATATTATTTCATTTTGGATTTTTTTAAGATGAAAAAGTAAAATAAAATGTACTTTCTTTGCAAGAACGCTTGAATATCTGTGTGTTCAGTTATCCAAACACAGGCCTAAATGTAGGTTAACAGAAGATCTAGGAGCGAATAGAAGGCAGCACATTTCACTTGGGAGGCAAGAATGATTGCAAACTATTCATTCCCAACCATCTGTTTATGGAATACCTGTTTGGTTTTTAAATTGTGTAGGCATAAAGAATCATCTTATAATTCTCCAGAGAAGGCTTCATACTTTACTCTGAGCTACAAGGATCTTACTAATCTTAATACAAATCACACCTGCATAAATTATAGGCAAATGCAGTTTTACATAAGTATCATGCTTAGGGATTAACAATCTTCTAAAGATAGTCCTCAACTACTGTGCAAATTCACATTGAGAAAAAGTGTTTTCAAGGATGCCAAATTCCAACCCCCCAAAATCATCTACATATTTCACACTTTCACGTATTTGTATTTATAATTATTAGGGCTATAAAACAATTAAAATTGTCGTTAATCGTGTGATTAAAAATTAATTGTGACTAATCACACTGTTAAACAATAATAGAGAACCATTTATTTTCAAATACTGTATATTGATTTCAATTACAATACAGAATACAAGGTACAGTAATCACTTTGGTCTTGATTACAAATATTTGCATTGTAGTAAACAAAACAAACAGTATTTTTCAATTCACTTAAACACTATAATGCAATCTTTTTATCGTGAAAGTTGAACTTACAAATATAGAAATATGTAAAAGAGTAATTGCATTCAAAAATAAAACATTATAAAACTTTAGAACCTACAAGTCCACTTAGTCCTACTTCTTGGTCAACCACTCACTCAGATAAACTAGCTCATTTACATTTGCAGAAAATAATGCAAATCACTTCTTGTTTACAATGTTACCTAAAAGTGAGAATAGGCATTCACATACCATTGCTAGAGTCAGTGTTGCAAGGCATTTAATTGCCAAAGCATTAAAGATTCCTATGTCTCTTCATCCTTCAACCACCATTCCAGAGAATACCTGCCCATGCTAATGACTGGTTCTACTTGGTAACTATTCTAACAGTACAGACCAACATATGTTCATTTTCATCATCTGAGTCAGATGCCACCAGTAGAAACTCAATTTTATTTTTTATAGCTCAGGTTCTGTAGTTTCCGCATCAGAGCGATACTCCTTTAAGACTTCTGAAAGGATTCGCCACACCTTATACCTCTGAGATTTTGGAAGGAACTTCAGATTCTTAAACCTTGGGTTGAGTGCTGTAGCTATCTTTAGAGTTCACATTGGTACCTTCTTTGTGTCTTGTCACATCTGTAGCAAAAGTGTTTTAAAAATGGGCCATCATCCAAGCAGAATGCAGGTAAAACAGGGCAGGAGACACACAATTCTACCCCAATACATTCAGTCACAAATATAATTAGCACTTTTTTAAAAAAACAAGCATCATCAGAATGAAAGCTTGTTCTCTGGGATAGTGGCCAAAGCCTGAAGGGGTATATGAACATTTAGCATATCCAGCATGTAAATACCTTGCAAACACAGCTATAAATGTGCCATCCGAATGCCTGCTCTCGTTTTCAGGTGATGTTGTAAATAAGAAGCAGGCAGCATTATCTCCCATAAATACTAGTTTGTCTTAATAACTGGGTGAACAAGAAGGACTGAGTGGACTTACAGGTTCTAAAGTTTCACATTGTTTGTTTCTGACTGCAGTTATGTAACAAAAAAGTCTACATTTTCAAGTTACACTTTCACAATACAGAGATTGCACTACAGTGCTTGTATGAAGAAAACAAACTATTTCTCTATCATTTTTACAGTGCAAGTATTTGAAATAAAACTAGTAATCTATAGTTAACATTGTACACTTTATATTGTGATTTAATTGAAAACAACGTATAAAATGTAGAAAAATATTCAAAAATGTTCAATAAATGTCAATTGGTATTCTATTATTTAACTGTGCAAATAAAAGTGCAATTAATTTTGAGGGGTTAAGAGTGTGAGATAACTGTGATTAATCAACAACCCTTCTAATTATTTTTACTGTCTCCAAAAGAACACAAACTAACAGTAGTGGAGGTCATAAATAACATTCAAATTTGAAAATCTAAATGAAAAAACGATGACTACACATATGTATGCAAAGAAAAAGGCTACAGACCAAAAAGGATAATCAAATTTGATATGCAGCTTCCTCTTCTCCTAACTTAAAGCATGATCAGGGTTTGGTTGTGCCAGGAAAATTCGAAGCACTGAGAAAGAGACCATTTTCCATAACATGGAAAGGTGGGGGCAGGGGGCTGTTTGAAGGGCCGTGATACTGACAGTGGGAGCAGTGAGCCTGCAGGGGAGAGATATCCTGCAGAGTGTACACTGGGAGTACCACCAAAGGAGCGGCCAGATGCGCTGGGGCTCTGCCATCTTCCCTGCCAGCACACTGAGTAAATGGCCCCCTTGCTCCAACCCTTTCCCCCCTTCCCGGCATTTGGTCCCAGTGCCAGAGGAGAAAGGAGAGAAAAGGCTGTCAGAGAAAG